CTAGCCGGGGAAAGGCATTAAAATTCAGGTGCGTCGGACACGGTATTGTCATTACGGTGTTGACCGTACGACCACTTTTTGCCCAAGGTACCCCGTGAATCAATATAACACACTGCTCTGGGATCTAAATTTCCAAACATTTTGGCTCAGCAACCCCTCCCCCACGTGTAAATTGTACTTCAGATGGTTGACCGTACCACACTAAAATACCATCCGACACCCCTGAAATTCATACATGTGCACAAGCACACGAACACATAAACGAACACACCGTTTGAAGTACATGCACACATGTATAAACACAACCAAAATGATACGGTACAAAAGGATAACCACACACACACACACATACAAGTACGCGTACACAAACATGCTCGTAGGCACACACACACACACACAAACACACACACACACACACACACACGCACGCACGCACGCACGCACGCACACACACGGACACACACAAAACACATCCATGCACATACACACATCCACTCTATGCGCACAGACTAGCAGCCAAGCGAACGCTGTCACCAGGAAACAGATACATACCGGTGTTTCGCAGGGCTTGACATCCGCGTGCAAGCCATCACAAGGCAAACCACCATTGCTTGGCCTGGTGATATGCAACACAAACAAGAACAAGAGAACTTTGGCCTTCAGTCATGCTTGGATTACTGGAGAAGCCAGACAGAAATTCCAATAGCACATGAGGTACATTTAGGTGTATGAACACATCGAAATAACCGGATAGTGAAACCTCTGTGAAACTTCAAGATATAAAGCACCTCGGGGATGTTACAAAAATTTCTCCCTGTGTTGGACACTGTAACTTCCTCTCTCCCTCCCTCCCTCCCTCCCTCCCTTGATCCATCCATCCATACATCTGTATCACTAGATTTCTCTCTCTCTCTCTCTCTCTCCCTCCCTGCCTCCCTCCCTACCTCCCCATTCTCTCTTGTATACCAGTAAATGAAATGAATGGATGAATAGATGGCTGGCATTTCAACAGGTTGCGCTTACTCTGGGTTGATGCACTCACGACGCCGATACATAAGTCCTCCACCGCAGGTAAGACTACACGCAGACCAGTCGGACCAGTCTGCCCAGCCGCCGTTGATTGGCTGCTTGGCGACCGCCCTCTGTATGATGGGCCGCCGCAGGACATCCGGGAATCCAGCGCTCTCCGGCAATGTCTGGCAGGTAGCGAGCTTGTCGAAGTGCAGACGCTGCACCGTGGAATTGTCAACGCACTGTCGACGATAGCAGATCTGAGGTAGATGGACATAACGTAGTGTTTTGTATCAGAAGTTGTCTGATCTAGAAGCCTGTGTTGAATACAAGCTGGATTTTCAAGATACACTGTCGGTACATAAGCCTGGTTTTAGTGTTGACATACATAGAAATACCTGGTTTGAATAGAAGCTTGATGTGAATAGAAGCCTAGCCATGACATCGTCTTCTACAGGAATACGCCCGAATTGATAACACAACATTACGTTACAGTAACGTATCATCAAGTGATGGATATTGTTCGCGACATTGCAACATCTCAGCATTCACAGAATGGTATACAATTTGCTCAACGAAAAGATGGGAAGTCTTGCTTCAAGAACGCATTTTCTATTGCTACAAGCGTGTCCAGTTTTAGTCTGTCCAGTGCAACAGCTTGTCTACGAGCGCCATGCCAAGCAACTGCCGACTTGCACTTACCTTGTTATTTCCACACGGTGTGCCGTCCAGTGCCGGCGAGAAGTTGGTCCAGCAGCCCGTCGAACTGTCCCTGCTGTCGCAGAACAGAGTCTGGCATATCACCTGCGCATACGCCAGCATTACACACACACACACACACACACACACACACACACACACACACACACACACACACGCACACACACACACACACGCACACACACACATACAACAAGCCCGGTCACGGTCGGTGCACTGATGTCACACCCTCGTGAAGATATCATATTATTACACTATATTACAGTACGAACTGATGAGGGGTGAATTCCCCGAAACACTGTGTATTGAGCAGGGAGTGGTGCTTTCTTGCAGGTTTGCCAAGTGGAAGGTGCGACGTGCTCCTCGTGTGCTCTGGACTGGCAGTCGTGAGTCAGTCAAGTGTCAAGTTCGGCAAGAAGCGTGTGTTCCTAGTTGGAACAATCAACTTTATAATACAGTCGAAGAACAAAAAGGACCAAGGAACTACAAGTTACGCTATAATGTCCACTAACACCACCAGTTACTAAACAATCAGCTCATGCGATAGCATTGCACGACACTGACCGACGGTACTGACATTCTACAACTAACTGGCTAACAGCTCTAGCACATCTGGGATGCGCACTCCAACTTGGCTCTCCATCTGAGTCTATTATTCACTACGTCATGCATGTAGTAGAATATTTACTACTCCCTGGACTGGACCCTGATCGGATCAGATCTCGGGAGCAGTGAAATATTTGACAACCCCTGTTCAGAACGGGGGGGGGGGGGGTAGTTATGGACGTTTGCTGTACTTGTACTTCTTCCAGGTCACATGCCCGTTGCCATGGAATGTTTGACTTCACATCTAAGATCTAAGGCAATCAGCAACGCTGCACATATGGTCATATATCCTGTCACACAGTGCATGCTCCCGACGCCCTGCTGCTACTACGCCCTGCCAATGAACGGCCTAGGCTACGAGGCTGCCCCCCCCCCCCCCCCCACCAAGTTCTTCTGAACCCAACAGCACTGTAAGCAATGCCCTACCTCTTTCTTATACGGACACGCCAAGTAGTTTCTTACCTCTTTCTTATAGGGACACGCCGAGTAGTTTCTGAATCTGAAGCTACACTGTTGATCAAGACTGTACAGCTCACCGGGAAGCTTATTCTCATTCTCCACCAGACCGTGAAATTGGCGTGGACAATCCAGTAGACAAGACACCTGTTCAGAACTAACGCAAGACGTAGAAGCCATACAGAAGGAAAAGGAAAGTCACCATGATAGTGGATGCTGCCTCGATAATCTGCCTGTATGAATTGTTTGGTCCCACCATCACACACCATAGGCCGTGTTAGCCATCCTAACGTTTACTGCAGTCATCGGGTGCTCTTTCCACCGTGGAAACAGATAGCTGAGCCTGTCAGCTATACAGAATGGAATGGCCAGGGGTATTGAACCCCTAAGGTGGGCCTTGCAGCCCTAGATCAGAGGGGAGTAGGTGCAGATTCTGTTAGTACTGCACACGTGTCTGCCACCGTGTAAACAGATAACTGAGCCTGTAAGCTATACAGCCATGCCATCATGCATCATGAGCAGTACTCTGAACATCTAGGGCAGCACAGCCAGCCTGGCGAACAGCACACAGTCATGTGACACGGCAAACTGAGCAAGATTCCGCAACATACTCACACTCCTGTAATTATGCAAGTACGGTAAAACCTGTGACTAACGACTACCCCTTTGGGGCCAGAGAAAGCGGTCTTTAGTGGCAGGTGGTCCTTAGTTAGAGGTTTGCATTGTACAACCATATATAAATTATGATCGTGAGACCGTCCGTGCCTGGCGAAGTGGTCTGTTGTACCAGGCTGGTCGCTAGTCACGGCGGTCTTCAGTTACAGGTTTTACTGTACTGCAAAACATCATCAAATAATGCCTGATCTAGATGTTTGCAGGGTGGTGGCGTGGATGCTGAAAACTCAGTCTAACCGAGTCTCAAGCGAACCGTGACATTATTATTATTTTTTTTTAGAGGACAATGCAGGGCGCATACTTGAATGTGTTGCGGAAGAAGGCCTTGCTGCAATCCGAGAACTGCCAGTACTTCTGCACGTCGTTGGCCGACGCCTCCATCACATAGCCCCCGCCGCGCGGGCAGATGGTCAAGTCGTGATCGGCGCCAAGTCTGTGCATGCAGCACACAGCACATGACAAGGACAACAGCCAGCACACTGAGCCGAGGCATGATTTTTTTACAAGATAATCACAAACCATCATGGTGCAAACGCTGGCAAAAACGCACAGATATGCACATCGCGATGGCAGCCGAAGCAGTGGATATGCGAGAACAATAGAGAACAATGTGATCACAGTATATATTTAGAGAGCAGTTCTCTGGCACGTGACCAGCTACATAGCCAGCCATGAGAAAGGTCACATGATAGATAATCTGAAAACAGTCACATGACCATAGTCACATGATCAGTCATGTGACAAGCCACATGACCATAGTCACATGATAAGTTGTGTGACATGCCACATGACAAGAAAGAAAGAAGGGTCAGAAGGAGTCTGAGAAAGAGAAGAAAGATGTGTGTGACCATTAGCGTCGGGAATCGAACCCGCAACCTATCGATTGGAAATCGCTGCACATACCACTGCACCATATGGGACACACACACACACACATACACACACACACACACACACACACACACACACACACACACACACACACACACACTCACACCATAAATGCACCTTGCACACACAACCTTACACGTGGCCAAACTCGTGAGCCATCACGACGCCATTCTGAATGCCCCTGTCGCGCACTAAGCCGCAGGACCGAGTGGGATTGCAAATCGTGCCAATAAACGCACGGCCTGAAGGATCAAGAAGAGGAGGCAAACAGAAAACACACCTTAAGCAATCACAAGCCAGGTTTGAAATTGAGACGTAGCAGTGCACAAGTGTACACACAATCATGCGCATACACTGGACGCATGAAAGGCACCATGGCCGTCACGAGTACGGACAATCCACTATGGAAGCTTACCAAGCTCATCGCATCCGCCACGATTGTTTCTCGAACAAAGACCGTACCTAGAGGAAAATAGTAGAACATAAAAAATTGGAAACTAGGACAAGAAGTCATAGGAAACAGATAAAAACTGAATACGAAACTCGCCCGTGCACGACTGCAGCTCGAGTTTTCACAGAGCGGACAAGTACACATGAGCACACATGAACACACGCACATGCACACACACACACGCGCGCACACATACGTACATATACACACACGTACATATACACACACGTACATACACACATGCAGACACATGTACACACAGAGACACTCGTGCACACATTCGTTTGAGTCGCGTGCATGCCACTGACCCGGTCAGCAACATGGCGTAGTCATGGTGGAGAAAGTGACGATCCGGCGGCGGATTCTGCCTGTGCTGGAAAACGCAAAACCTGTCGAGCAGGATATTCGAGTCATGTGTGACGGGCAATTGAGGCTGGAGGAGAACACCACGCAAATGAAGGAATTAGGCTGGAGGAGATGGCTCAGGGGGTACTGAAATCAGGAGACGATCAGTAAATGAGAGGAACAGTGTTTGGTGCTTCTCTTACTTTTCAGTTCCCCTTTCATCCTTTTTCTTTCTCCCCTCTATTACCGCCATGGCTGGCCATCGCCCACATCACCTTTTCATTGGCTAATGCCACGTGATTGTGAATAAAAAAAATTAAAAAATTAAAAAAATATTTGCGTAGAAAATTCCACCATGCCTTCGTACGGGATACGCAGTATGTACTTCAGGTAATATCATGCTCGAGGTAGGTGGTATCTATTGAAGTACGTTAAACTATGTGAAAGTTATGCTCTTGGTTGAGCACTCTTTCTGGTTAGCATCAACGTCGTCTCGCTGTGTTTATCCCGGTTTGAGCAATCTGACTTTGGTTATTTGAGCCGGTGTAGAAATTGTTAGGTTGTTCACTAGATATCATTGCGACAGACTGGTTTACCAAGTCACTCTGAGTCTGGGTCCACTAGCATACCCGCGTACGTCACTCTGAGTCTGGGTCCACTAGCATACCCGCGTACGTCACTCTGAGTCTGGGTCCACTAGCATACCCGCGTACGTCACTCTGAGTCTGGGTCCACTAGCATACCCGCGTACGTCACTCTGAGTCTGGGTCCACTAGCATACCCGCGTACGTCACTCTGAGTCTGGGTCCACTAGCATACCCGCGTACGTCACTCTGAGTCTGGGTCCACTAGCATACCCGAGTACGTCACTCTGAGTCTGGGTCCACTAGCATACCCGCGTACGTCACTCTGAGTCTGGGTCCACTGGCATACCCGCGTACGTCACTCTGAGTCTGGGTCCACTGGCATACCCGCGTACCTCACTCTGAGTCTGGGTCGACTAGCATACCCGCGTACGTCACTCTGAGTCTGGGTCCACTAGCATACCCGCGTACGTCACTCTAAGTCTGGGTCCACTAGCATACCCGCGTACGTCACTCTGAGTCTGGGTCCACTAGCATACCCGCGTACGTCACTCTGAGTCTGGGTCAACTGGCATACCCGCGTACGTCACTCTGAGTCTGGGTCCACTAGCATACCCGCGTACGTCACTCTGAGTCTGGGTCCACTAGCATACCCGCGTACGTCACTCTGAGTCTGGGTTCACTAGCATACCCGCGTAGGTCACTCTGAGTCTGGGTCCACTAGCATACCCGCGTACGTCACTCTGAGTCTGGGTCCACTATCATACCTGAGTACGCCTAGCAGCAAGTATAGAACAGTAGTATGATCAGAGGACGTGACATGACTTGAGGCCAGAACTCACAAATTGATCCTTAAGCTTACCTGAGGTTCCAGCAGGTACATAATGCGAGTCACATGGATTCTTATGTCGAATCCCGAGCTTTCCGCTGCCAGCGTTGCTTGCATCTGCATCCACGTGTGCACGTATTCGAACCGGCGTGCATACACATGCGTGAGTGCGTGCACATGCACATACATACACACACAAATGCACACACATTCACACATACCCACACATACACACACACACACACACACACACACACACACACATACACAGGTTTGCAAAGAAAAACTACCTTGCTACCAGAGTGTTCGTAGACACCACACGGAGGCTCGTGGAACTCCAATTGCAGTTCGCCTAGCCTCCTCCAATTTTTTATGTGTAAAGCAAGTGCAAGCCATGCAGTGCAGTGTGTGACACGCCCATAGGACGGTGACTTACCACGTTCATCAGCGTGAATATGTAGGAGTTGATGTAGTCCAAATCCCCGTCGTGCAGATCAATCATGTACGAGTCGGCCGTGATCATCATTTCCACGTAGAGCTGGCCGAACTGGTTGCGCACGCTCTTCTGATTCTGGTAGGACTTGGCGAGTATCTCCTCGCGGGCGCTGTGGTACGGAATGTTATCGTAGCGGTAGCGCTGGAACCCTAGTTAGGAGTGAGAACGCACCAGAAAAGCAAAAAATGAGAGAGAGAGAGAGAGAGAGAGAGAGAGAGAGAGAGAGAGAGAGAGAGAAGAGAGAGAGAGAGAGTGAGAGAGAGAGAAGAGAGAGAGAGAGAGAGAGAGAGAGAGAGAGAGAGAGAGAGAGAGAGTAAATTAACCAGCAAAGCAGCCACAAATAAAATGAATACTTTAATCATACTGCCAATGTTAGTAAGGCCACCCTTTCTTTTTTCGTTGTTTAACGTCCGCGCCCGCGTACCTTTTGCCTCCGACCGGAAAAAAAAAAGAAAGTAGTAGTACCAATAATATGCGAAGTTGTAAATACATGATTGTGTAGTTTCACAGTGTGCCGATCATGATCTTAAACTTATAATATTGCCTCCCGGGCATGCCTTTGTCTTGTGTTCTTTTTCTTTTTTTTGTTGGCTTTTAAATATCGTACGGTGTGTGTCCTAGTAAAAATCCAGATGTAATGAATTCATGACATGCTAACTCCATGCTATGGACCTTTTTTGTTGGATTCACCAGGCATGTGCTCCAATGTACCATCAAAGAGTGTTGTTCTATGCCTGCAAGTGCCGTTAGACCCAGAAATATTGTATATATCACATGCTTTACTGGTCAAAATGTTTGATTGGGGTTTCCAGTTTTTGGAATGGGCTTTTGTTTTTTTTCCGCCCTCCCGCGTACCTTTTCGCGAAAAAAAGGACGTTAAACAATGAATTAACAAAGGGTGGCCTAATAGTAGATAACATAAAGGTCACTGAATCCTTGCTAAGTACGAGTATTGTTCACCTTGTGCTATTTTATAATGATGCAGGTGTGGATAGGTAACGCGGCAGTCGAGTGCAACTTTCGATAATGAAGCTGTCATGTCTACGGGTATTTACATTGATACTGTCGCTATAGCAACAGCATTGCCTAGTGGACCATACTGTAATTTGAAAGTTAACACTAGCGCTGGTCATTTCGTGAAATGTGCTTCAGTTACCTATGCGTACCTGATGGATCACGCTGTGCGCCCACTCCACAGCTGCGGTGCCTCTTGACCGGAAGGGGACCTTCGATTGAGCGCCGATACACCAGATGCGTGTGGCCGTGTGTGTTGGATTCGTGCTCGAGGAGATAGGCAGGCAGTGGGTGCACATAGAAGGCGTCGCTGGATGAATACACCGCTCCCATCTGCAGCAGAAAGGCAAATTCAGCAGGAGTGGTATGAAAAGCTGACACATCTAAGAATAAAATAAACTCAAAACCCATGCGGACGCTTCACGAAAGAAGTGCTTCCCCAATACCGGCGCTATTGCACAGGTGGAGTATTTGTGAGAAACACGTGTGCGCAGTCAAGTGGGGGTGTTGGACTGTGATAATTAGTTGGTGGAATGAAAAATTTGAATAGTACCGCAGCCATGTCAATGCACCTGTGCCTTAGATCTTTTTCATTGCAGGGCGGCGGCGTTCCTACGGATGCTGAAAACACAGCCCAACTGAGTCTCAAGCGAACGGTGAATTTTTTTATGTCAATGAGAGACTTACCATGCCTTTGCATGTGCTGAACGCCACCAGAGAGCTGTTGGCCATGCCGGTCACATGACCTCGGTAATAGCAATGCTTGGGCTCGACGACCGGCTGATGGTGCGTCACGTTGCCTCCCGCGCCAAGGTGCTCGATGACGGAGAGGTCGCTATAGAGACCGTCGCTCTCCGTCACGCTGAGATGATAGTCTCGGCCGAAGCCGTGCACCTTGAAGAACGTTTGCCGCGACGACGGCAGTGATCGTCGACGGCGATGGTGCCCGGCCTCGAGCAGGTCGAAGGAGACGTGGCTGCCGCTAGGCGTGACTTGGCTCGGCGATGCAGTGTGGTATGCCAGGTCTGTGATGCACACACACACACACACACACATACATACACACACACACAAAAAACCCAATGAATAAAGTAGTGTGGTGTTTGAGTGAACTTCATAACATCTTTAGTGACAAACCATTGTAGTGTCCGGTACTATTACTCGGAGGAGGAGGGGGGCGGGAAGCGCAGGGCTGCCACACTTGGAGGGAGAAAAATCTGACGGAGGGGTGTCCCCCGGCGAGGGTGCCGGGGGCAGGGCCCCCGCGGTGAAATATTTAGGAAAATGGCTTGCTGTTTGGGCCCCAGAACACATTAAACTGTCCAGCACACGCACTACAACCATGTCAATTATGAATTAATGGCCAACTGGACTAAAAAGCGCTCAAAACTTAGTAAAGAAATTGGTTGTCCCTCTTTGGGAACAAAATCGGTCGGTTTGTCGGACAGGCGATCAAAAATCGGAGCAAGTGGCAGCCCTGGGAGCGGCGGATCCAGCGATCTCCCGGGGGAGGGGGGGGTCCAGTATAGTCAAAACTGAATACCTGATACATGTACATGGACATGCATATGGTTGCCAGTAGTACATTTACGAAATTTAGGGGGTTCCACGGAACCCCTGGAACCCCTTCTGGATCCGCCCAGGGGGGGGGGGGCATCATTGTGGATTAACAAATATGTTCAGGGGATTTACCTTCACCATCCACGTCTTCACTGCCGAAGAATGTCCGCAGGTGCCGCTCGCTCATGTACTGATGCATGCCTTGGCCCTGCAGGAGATGTATGGCACACAAATCAATCCTATTCACTAAAAAAACCCACACACATCATGAGTTTGCACATGCAGACGTTAAAACGGTTGCTCGCCAACATCCAAACATTCTATGGTGGCCATCCATTCATGCATGACGTTGGGATTGGAGGTGGCAGTTCATATGCTGAACTCTATTTTCAGTGACTGGGAGTGGATGCCCCCCCCCCCCCCCACAAACCTGCACATACAGCACATGCCTGATCCTCTTGGCTTTATCCATTTTTTCGGTCTTTATTTTGGACAACGAACAGACAAATCTAGGAAGTCCAGTCACGAGTGGCTGGCTCAACGCCCTTGTCTCAGGGGATTCTGTCCCTGCATTAGCTATGCTTGTCACATGCTATGAGATTTTGTCTAATAATAATAATAATAATAATCAAAGAGCAGATGCAAGCATGACTCGCGGAGATGGCAATGGTGTCGTTTTATACAGTATGTGTACCCCCTTTTAAAGCAACAGAAGATCTAGGATCTTGATGACCAGGAAAATCAGGAAAGCTGCAGGTGGGTTTTCACACCGGTCTTGGCATGCATTGGAGCGCGGTCTGGAGCCTGAGGCGGGTGGTCTCCGGAAGGCGGTATCTCACTACTTGTACAGTGAGTGGTCCCGTAGCACAAGTGTATCTCTTCTGAATTCATTCATAATCAAACAGAATACTGGAAAATCCCCCCCCCCCCATCCCAGAACAGGGTGGGTCGGAACGCACTGAACAAGAGTAATTATTATGGCCATACTGTTTTCCAACTGCCAGTGTTGAACTCACTCACTTAAGAAAACAGTGTAGTGAGGTTAAGCTGCACGTTATTTCTGAAGTGACGCGCAACTTCACGTCAAATTTGGTGCAAAACTCCAAATTTCGACTTGAGCTGAAGGTCACTCGCGTTATTTTCCAATGCGCGAGCCATATAAGGGGCCGTCCAAGGTTACCAATAATATTTTCGAAACGAAAAGTTTTCGTTTGGGGGTCGGTGGGTTTGATGGAGTTTTGTTTTGAAAATAATTATTGAATGCAGATGGAGAATGTCCAGTTACTGCTGGGTGTCGAAAATTGACATCAATATTTTATTGGAATTCGTTTTACCTGCAGAAAAGATGGGTGAGTGGTTGGGTTGCTGAAACATACTAAAACTTTTCGTTTTGTAAAAACAATCAGTAACCCTGGATGGCCCCTAACGCGAGCTGAACTTTCGTGTCACGTCAAAAACAACTTGCAGCTTTACCTCCAATATTGGATACCCCCCCAGAAAGCTAGCACTATGCAGGATATGGTCGAGCTGGCCGAAATTAAAATCGATCACAGCCAAAATGTTTTCAAGCTGCCAATGATGTCTATGTGTGATAGTGTTTGACATGACCATTCTGATCCCTATATTAGCCTATAGACTATTTACTGATCACTGTATCATGGAGTGTCTGTCATTAAAATCCATACCAGTTCATCCTGCACTGCATTCGGCATCGAATGTCAATCTCGGCCTATTAGTGTCACGCTGGTTCAAATCACGGCACCCCGATCCCTTCAGAGGAACTGTAACGGACATTTAACACTGCTACTGCCAAACTCTCTGTCTCGAGTTCAGTGAATTATTCAGCCTTGCAGCACCTCCGCCCACGCACATGCACATGACAGATGAGCTGATGATTGGCACACTGCTTTCAGACAGATGCCACCACGCCCAAGCTCTGAATCTGCTGATTACTACCGGACTGGCTGATTTCATGCATTGCCGCCACAAAAACGAGAGAATGAATGAAGTATTGAGTGCCGGGATTCTAATGTGGGTCGCACTGCACGTGGGTCACGCTGCACAGCTGGTGAAATTACCTCCACTAGTGCAAGCCTGCACAGACACCATAGGAATAGGCTAACGTCCATGTATTTGCTACATGGTCTGTCACAGTGTGATGCAAACACAGCCATACGTTGTACGGCTACACGTCCTGTAAAGTGTAAGAAACATGAGGTGGCTACGACAGTATAATTTATAACAAACATGGTACCCTGGGAGTACTGATGTGAGTGGTAACCCTAGAAATGTCTGGTTGCTTGGGAACGGTGTAATACGCTGATGCGCAAATACGCTGGCTAGCACTACATAATTGTTCTCCTCACTCACCGGTAACCTTGATGTCGACTGCTCTTCCATTGCTGTTGCAGTCAAGAGCACCACGGCCAGCACTGATAGCAGGGTGGCAAGCGTCACAGGCGCCATAACACCGCCAGTTGAATGGGAGCAGGCAGTCCTGCAATTGGTCTGAGCCTATCACAGATTCACACCACTCTGCCAAAAACGTTGAGGCTGTACTGACTCCCAGTTGTAGTCTTGCAGGAGCAATTATTAAAATTCGATGCGGGCCTTGCCAGAGACAGAAAATACTAATAGACATGGGCTGTGTGCGGCCGGGATAAATAAAGTCTTCCCCTGGCAAATGAGAAGCTTGGAAGGTGGACAGCTTGCCCATGCCTCTCTGACAGCGTGTTGACTAGCCCCGTCTGACACCTTGACATAACGAGTCAGTTGGTATGATGATTGACAGGCCATCCGCCTTCAGCGTGCGGTGAGCGGCACCGCGGACTGAGCACTCCGAGTAGCAGTAAGCTTCGCGGGTCGACCTCCCTCTCCTTACTCTGTCTGTATCTCCGTATTGGGTTGCAAACTATTACTTGCATTGATTTCGTCGTTTTCCGTGTGCAGCACAGGAGAGCATGCTAGCACTGGTCAGCGCAGCCAGTAGCTAGCTCCGTCGACTCGGCTGGCAGAACTCAGTCCGAAGACGTATCAACTCGCTGTGCGATCCGAGCCGCGGTGTAGGAGGACAAAATTAGGGGTCGCGCTGCGTGGATTGAATCGCCGTAACCTTTGTCTAGAGACTCGAGCTGCGAGTTCAAGTACCAGGGCAGCAGTAGATCTACGGCAGTGAGTCACGGTCGACTCTACGCCCACATACGAGTACACGCTCGCCTGCACTCTGCCTCTGCTCAGTATGTACAAACGAAAGTGCATGAGCGGTCGGCGCTGGCGTTGGCGTTACTGATCCCGTCCGAAGTGTCGCCGGAACGCACTCCCTCCGCCCCAAGGCTTCAAACAAACCCTTTTCCATTCATTGCTTCCGTCGAACGAGACACCACTGCCTCGCCCGATGTGACTCCAAGCCTCACAGACACAGTTCACGCCTGTGAAGACGAACGCCATTAGCACATGCCTTGGAACAATGGAAAGTACTCTTCCACACAATAGTTGCGGACTGTGGTGGTGACGGTGACCTACACTATTGGTAGAGGCTATTGGTCTCTCTCCGTCTCTGCTGTTCGCCTTCGCCGAGGGGCGGACAAATGCGCCGTATTCTTCAATCAACTCTTCAGATTCCTTTCGAACACAATTGGACTTCAAACGCAATTGAGATTCCGGTACTCCTGGTACTGGTAGCAGGAACGCTTGAGTGGACAATGTATAATCAATGTAGCCATTATTTCATATAAACTGGATGTACCGGTAGATCAGCGTCGCGATCACTTCAGGCGTTTCATCGGCGTCAAATGAATAACACGGTCATCCGCGAAGATCGTATCACCTGTGATTTGACGACTTCTTACGCCTTGCGGGGGAGAACAACGCAAAAAGTAGCCACAGGTACATAATTACATTGTACATGTATGTACATGACTGGGTATACAATGTCATGTATATGTACAAGTGCCTGCAGTTCCAAGATACGAAGAACTACAGCGTTTCGTTATCACTGTCACTGTGATTCACTGACACTTCTGCATGTGTCGGTCTATTAGTATTACTACCCTTTGGTGACTCTGCAGCGAAGGACAGGGCAACACAATAGTAAGTGCTAACCACCACAGCTCTTACCTTAATCTTACCTTGTCTGTCACGTGTTTCTCGTAAAAAGAAGGCGCCTGCCACTTTACAGAATATTTACAGGTAAATAACTACCACTGGCACTGAGTTGTCATGGATGATTAGACTCAGTAGTGCACACCATGTCACATCTTGCTGTGACTCCGAGTTTCACGCGATCGCACGTTTGTATCTAGCACTATAAAAACACCGGTAATTATTACAGTGTCCCAATACAAAGGCACAGCTAGCTTCTTCCTGTCTGTGTGTACATTATACTGTTGTCTATAGTATAGTATAATACTACTTTGAAGTAATCAACATTAACATACAAAGAGAGGAGAAGCGAATACAACACAGAATGCAACCCGCACACATGACTTCAGCACTCCAAGCTAGACTTAAGCTCTTTGAAGTAGAACTGATGTAAACAAAAAGTGAAGTTAGCCGGATTCGCGGCAGCATCACCTGACGCGATTTAATACGTAGATGTACAAAATCACCCAGAGGCTAGGCTATAGTGTGTGTGTACTACCGGCAATATGTTACACTACATTGTATGTACATTGAACATGACTGTAGTATATGTGAATAGCCCCGTTCTCAAGTACTACATTGTACTAGTCTTGTGAACGGGCTTATTCACAAAGCCACTTGCGTGACACCATACAGCATTTTAAGACCCAAGTCGGCACTAACTACTTACTAGAACACTCAATTCATTATTCGATGATGCCATCTTCATTTGGTCCGTCGATTCATAGTACAGTGTAGTAGAAAGTTCTTTTTTTCGACCAGAAGAGACCACACGACGCTTGCGAACACAGCTCACCGTGCACCAGCAGCACTCCACAACATAACAGCAAGTAATTGCTTGTTTCGTTCCATATTGAGATAGTGGGACCTCATCAGAGGAGAGCCGATGTTGAATGAAAGCCAACGGGGTTGGATACGAGCTAGACTACTATCTACAGAAGATTAAGATACTGGCGCAAAGTACAAACACCAGTATACAGTAAAACCTGTGAAGGCGACCACCTGTCCTAGAGGACCACTGCAACCAGGACCAAGGGATGCTATTTGCCAGTCACATCATTTATTGCTGAACCCACAAATAATTGTGATACAGATTGTAAACCATACGAGGTAAAAGAGAAAGCCATTAATAAAGAAAATAAAATAAGAAGAAAAGGTTATTATACCATGCCAGACGGCTACTATTAAAGTCATGTACCAAATGTAGTACATGACGTAGTAGATGCTATTTCCAGTCAATTGACCCTGGATAAGGCGACCACTTGGTGACACAGCAACGACATAGCTGGATTGCGACGTACGTTTCGTCCCCGCTGGACTCATCAGGCAATCTTCTTCTTGGATGTCTTCATACGGAGCTTGACTCGGGAGAATGAAGTTGAAGACACCACTGCAGCTGTACTTATGTTATGGTTGATAAATATAGTGGTAAAGACACACCTGGCAATATGGCGGTAAACACACGCCTGCCCACACACGCTCTCTAGGCTACAAAGTTCTGGCACAGAGCTCTCCTTCTCACCACCACCACCATGCGCTACTTGATGTACCAGCCTGCTATGTCGGATACCGCCAACCATGCATCGACGAGGCGCCAGGCGCGAACTGATGGTGGTGGTGGTGAGCAGGAGAGCTCTGTGCCAGAACTTTGCAGCCTAGAGAGCGTGTGTGGGCAGGCGTGTGTTTACCGCCATATTGCCAGGTGTGTCTGTACCACCATATTTTATCAACTTGGTGACAGAGACCATATTTTGAAGGCCCTTGAGCGGTCGTCTTAGACAAGTTTCACTGTACTCAACTGACACACATATGTGACAAACTAACACATTTCAAGAAATAAAGTGATGTGGACCGGAAAGACGCTCGACTGCATGACCTTTTTGTGTTGTTGAGGTCTCTGTGCGCGTGGGACCAAGCGAACACTGTGGAAGAGACTGCCATGCCCACACTGTAAGCATTGGCGGATAATGCTCGAAAAGGTGGCAGATTCTGCTCGAAAAGCAGTGAAATTGGCAGAACCATACAAACCTTATGGCGGGCAATTCCTCGAATTCTGCTCCATTTCTTTATCTACATGCCAAACATGCATGAAACTTAGCAGAAAAAGTACCGAATTCTGCCAATTTTTCTGCCGGCATTATCCGCATATGCCTAGCCCACAGTGCCATTGTTGGCCACAGCTAGAGGCAAAGGCAGAAACACCTGCCGCAGTTTCTCTTCAAGTGGCTAACTCTGTACATGGCCGTGTATCTCTAAACTAGGATGTTTTAGCTACTCACAATCACTAAAATGTCATGTACATGTAAATGTCCACTCAACGTTTCTTGCTTAATATCGCAATCATCAGGAGATTGATGCTCAAAGGATTGCGCTGTTGACTAACGTTAGAGTTCCACACATCACATCTCTTGGCGGCGTTCGTGTATGGGCGCACCCGACGGTGAATCAGCTGACTACTTGATTGTGTTTCGGCTCTGTTTGAATCGTTCAAAACTGAATAAATTCATTGATATTTAATAATACTACAGGCACAGGCACAGGCATAGTGGGATGGTCTAAAACAGCTAATGTTATACCGATCTACAAGAAAGGGTCCCGCCACGAAGCATCAAACTACCGTCCGATATCTCTACTGTCCTGTGTTTCCAAACTCTGTGAGCGCGTTTTCTACGACCAATTGTACTGTCATGTCTCGTCACGTTTGAGTTCAGCTCAGTCCGGATTTCGCAGAGGCGATTCTACCACCCTCCAGCTGACGCGCCTGGTGCAATTAGTGTGTCGACATCGGGATCCTGGAGATCTAGTCGGGATTTGTTTTTTCGATCTTGCCAAGGCCTTCGATACCGTCTGGCACCGGGGGCTTTTGGCCAAGCTTCGTGGATCATTTACTGTAGACGGCAATCCCCTGCTATGGCTGACATCTTACCTGACTGGGCGAACGCAGTACGTCACGGTACATGGGACGTCCTCGGCCGACACAACAGTACTATCCGGAGTTCCCCAGGGTTCCATCCTCGGCCCCCTTCTTTTTATTTTATACGTCAATGATCTGCCCGCAGCTGCCCCGGGCACATCACTGTTCGCAGACGACACAACGCTCCTACGGGCATCTCCTAACATCACTGGCCTGATGAGTAACCTAGCTAACGGTATTCAAAGAGTAATTTCCTGGATGTCGTCTTGGCGGTTATTGTAACAGTTTTCCCCTGTTCTCTATAACTTTACACTCCCTCGCACCTCATGCGTCTTACGCCTGTCTATTAGCACCTTCATTGGCGCCATTGCCACATGTATACTATCACATTTTGCATATAACTGGTCGAGGCGCGCTCAACCAGGCCTCTTACTTTTCAAGTTTGATTAAACCTGTTACACTGGTAGCAGAGGATGGTTCCTACTCTGCTTTTGGCAGGTGTTCTGGTCGCTCTGCTTACGCTCCTCGTACTCGTCGTTCGGCTGATAAACGATATCAAGACCGCTCAGCGCGTTAGCCAAGGAAACCGAACGATACATCCGAACTCGGAACCGTGGGAGCCAACACCCCGCCTTACGAAAGAGCCGCCTGTGTTTGGAGGAGATTCCGCTACATTCAAAGAATGGACGTTTGCAATGGACATGGCCCTACGGTCGTTGGCGCTCCCAAATGCGGCACAGAGGGTCGACTACGCGGCAGGATTTTTGACTGGAAACGCTCGTCTTTGGTTGATAGCGGCATTGGAAGC